CCTGTAATCCCAGCACTTTGGGAGGCCACAGCAGGTGGATCACCTGAGGTCAGGAGTTTGAGACCAGCCTAGCCAACATGGTGAAACCCTATCTCTACTAAAAATACAAAAATTAGGCCGGGCGCAGTGGCTCAAGCCTGTAATCCCAGCACTTTGGGAGGCCGAGGCAGGTGGATCACGAGGTCAAGAGATCAAGACCATCCTGGTCAACATGGTGAAACCCCGTCTCTACTAAAAATACAAAAAAAAATTAGCTGGGCATGGTGGTGCATGCCCGTAATCCCAGCTACTCAGGAGGCTGAGGCAGGAGAATCGCTTGAACCTGGGAGGTGGAGGTTGCAGTGAGTTGAGATAGTGCCACTGTACTCCAGCCTGGCGACGGAGTGAGACTCCATCTCAAAAACAAACAAACGAAAGAGAGAGAGAGAGAGAGAGAGGAGACACCTCTCTTTCGTTTGTTTGTTTTTGAGATGGAGTCTCACTCCGTCGCCAGGCTGGAGTACAGTGGCGCTATCTCGGCTCACTACAACCTCCGCCTCCTGGGTTCAGGCGATTCTCCTGCCTCAGCCTCCTGAGTAGCTGGGATTACAGGCACGCGCCACCATGCCCAGCTAATTTTTCGTATTTTTAATAGAGACGGGGTTTCACCATGTTGACCAGGATGGTCTCGATCTCTTGACCTCGTGATCCACCTGCCTCGGCCTCCCACAGTGCTGGTATTACAGGCTTGAGCCACCGTGCCCGGCGAAGAGACACATTTTTATCAGTCCTTTGCAATCTGTTGTTAAAACAACTTTACTAACAGTATTATTTAGCAAAGCAAAACAACAGGAAACCTTGATAACTTCGTAAAACTAGAAAATGAATCTCACCTTTGCATCTATTTCTTCTGCTTTCTCATTGGCTTCTTGTTCAATGAAAGCCATCATATGCTTAATCTGTAAGAAAAAAACATTTTATTTTTTAATTCAACGAGATGAAAATATATTTTCTGATTCACTGAACAATCAATGACATGTACATGCAGTGGCTCAAACCCATAATCCTACCACTCTGGGGGGCCAAGGAGGGAGCACTGCTCTAGGCTAGGTGTTGGAGACTAGTCCAGACACCACAGTGATGCCCCATCTCTACTAAAATTACAAATCAGCCACTGGCTGGGTGCGGTGGCTCACGCCTGTAATCCTTGCACTCTGGGAGGCCGAGGCGGGCAGATCACCTGAGGTCGGGAGTTCAAGGCCGGCCTGACCAACATGGTGAAACCCCGTCTTTAAAAAAAGGTAAAAAAAAAAAAAAAAAAGGAAAAAAAAAAAATTAAAAAAAAAAAAATTAAAAATCAGCCACTCACTGCACGCATACTATGCCGGGCACTGAGTACAAGGATGAACGAGACCATTTCCACTCTCAGGAAACTTAGTATGTAAAATGTGTTCTAGCAAATGGACCAGATCCAACATTCAACAACACAGATAAATAAGATAAATAGGACATTTATCCTCCTCTCGAGGGACCTGGAATACAAAGGAGAAGTGCTATGTACCTCCCTCCACTTCATACCCCTTAGCCAGCACCCTCCCTTTGTCTTCTCCACCTCTAAGAAACTTTGCTGAAGAGCTACCCATCTTTACACTTTCAACTTTCTCACCCTTCTCTTAACACTGTCGTCTGGCGTGTACCCTTCTCTGCACTCCACTGACAGTTCTCTCATCAAGTGACAATCTCCTTGTCGCTTGATCTTGGCCTTTTCTTACTTGATCTTTCAGCAGCAGTTGATGTGTTGCCCAACTTACCCTTAACAATCTTCCCGTTGCTTCCACGACTTCCTCCTTTCTCCTTTGGAGTCTCCTTTGGGGCCATACCCTTCTACTCTGCCTCTTAAACAGCTCTTTTTAAGTATCCTACTCACAGAAATCTAAATTCAAGGCCGGGCGTGGTGGCTCACGCCTGTAAACCCAGCACTTTGGGAGGCTGAGGCGGGTGGATCACTTGAGGTCAGAAGTTCAAGACCAGCCTAACCAACATGGTGAAACCCTGCCTCTTAAAAAAAAAAAAAAGAGGCTGGGCCAGGCACGGTGTCTCACGCCTCTAATCCCAGCACTTTGGGAGGCCGAGGTGGGCGGATCACGAGGCCAAGAGATTGAGATCATCCTGGTCAACACGGTGAAACCCCGTCTCTACTAAAAATACAAAAAAAAAGAGTAGCTGGGAGTGGTGGCACGTGTCTGTTGTCCCAGCTACTCGGGAGGCTGAGGCGGAAGAATCGCTTGAACCCAGGCGGCGGAGGTTGCAGTGAGCAGAGCTTGCGCTACTGCACTCCAGCCTGGTGACAGAGCAAGACTCCATCTCAAAAAAAAAAAAAAAAAAAAAAAAGAGGCTCATGCCTGTAATCCTTTTGGAAAGCCAAGGTGGGTAGATCACCTGAGGTCAGGAGTTCAAGACCAGCCTGGCCATCATGGTGAAACCCCATCTTAAATAAAAAAAATAAACAAGGCTGCGCGCGGTGGCTGAAGCCTGTAATCCCAGCACTTTGGGAGGCCGAGGCGGGTGGATCACGAGGTCAAGTGATCGAGACCATCCTGGTCAACATGATGAAACCCCGTCTCTACCAAAAATACAAAAAATTAGCTGGGCATGGTGGTGCGTGCCTGTAATCCCAGCTACTCAGGAAGTTGAGGCAGAATTGCCTGAACCCAGGAGGTGGAGGTTGCGGTGAGCCGAGATCGCGCCACTGCACTCCAGCCTGGGCAACAAAAAAATAAAATAAAATAAAATAAAATAAAAATAAAAAATAAAAAAATAAACAAACAAACAAAATAAAATAAATCTAAATTCAACACATTCCCTACTGAACTGCTCACCACTCTTCTCCCCACTTCTCACTTTGAGCTCTCTCAGGGATTAGCACCAAGCTCCAACTGTGACTCTTCCTCCTACCTCAGTCCTTACAGCCAACCAATCACCAAGTCCTATCAATTCTCTCCTAACGCTTTACCTTGCCCACCTTGCTGCACCCTCAAAGCCGCTAGCATAGTCCTTGCATTCATCATCACTCAGCAGAATGACTACAACAGCTTCCAAGTTTGTCTTCCTGCCACTATTCTTTTTTTTTTTTTTTTGAGACGGAGTCTCACTGTGTTGCCTAGGCTAGAGTGCAGTGGTGCAATCTCAGCTCACTGCAAGCTCCACCTCCCGGATTCAAGCGATTCTCCTGCCTCAGCCTCCTGTGTAGCTGGGATTACAGGTGTGCACCACCACACCTGGCGAATCTTTTGTATTTTTAGTAGAGTTGGGGTTTCACCATGTTGATCAGGCTGGTCTCGAACTCCTGACCTTGTGATCCACCTGCCTTGGTCTCCCAAAGTGTTGGGATCACAGGTGTGAGCCACTGCACCAGCCTATGTCTTTTTTTGGAGATGGAGTCTCACTGTTACCAGGCTAGAGTGCTGTGGTCCAATCAGCCTCCCTGATAGCTAGGACTACAGGAGCGCACACCATGCCCAGCTAATGTTTGTATTTTTAGTAGAGACGGGGTTTCACCATGTTGGCCACGATGGTCTAGAACTAAGCTCAAGTGATCTCTTGACCTGGTGATCCACCCGCCTAGGCCTCCCAAAGTGCTGGGCCTAGCACCAAATCTTAAAGACAACATATAGGGAGACTAAGGCAGGCAGATCACCTGAGGTCAGGAGTTCAAGACCGGCCTGACTAACATGGTGAAACCCGGTGTCTAATAAAAATAGAAAAAATTAGCTGGGCATGGTGGCGCATGCCTGTAATCTCAGCTACTCAGGAGGCTGAGACAGGAGAATCACTTGAACTTGGGAGGCAGAGGGTTGTGGTGAGCCAAGATCATGCCATTGCACTCCAGCCTGGGCAACAAAAGTGAAACTCTGTCTCAAAACACAAAACAAAACAAAACAAAACACACAGGATAGTTTTAGAAAGGACAGATTTGTTTAATGGGAAATCTCGGAGCCGCCCTCTTTTCTTCTTCTTTTGGTGGCTGAGTTGTTACACACTCAGGGGATTCCAACTTCCATGGCCACCATCGTCTTTCCAAACTACTTTTTTTTTTTTTTTTTTTTGAGA